TTTGGGCATATTTTTCCGGAGATCATCTTCTCTTCTCAAGCAGTGCGCTGGTTGTACAATGGCAACAGGAAAGGCGTACAACCATTCTCAAACTGATACTGGGATGACAGAGAGCTACTGCAGTTCCTGACTTGTGGAGGGTGTGTATCCAGCTACAACCCCCTATTACAGTTCGTGTTAACAGCAAATTTATCTGCAGCACAAACACGTACTCTGCAGGCTTCATTTTAGCTCTTGCTCAACCAGAGGAAAACAGGCATTGGCAGTTTTCACCAGATTTGGTATCAATACCCAGAACATTAAGTGTAAATCTGGAACTGGTTGGATGTGGTGGTCTAACAATATTGTGTTACAGAGAGACAGATGGAAAAGGCACTGCGCTGGGTGGAGCGCCTCGTTGTTATGAGAGCTATAGTAAACAGAAATTAGAGAGAAAGGCACTGTGCTGGGTGGAGCGCCTCGTTGTCTTGGGCTAATTATGAGAGCTATAGTAAACAGAAATTAGAGATGCCAACCTGAAAGGTTTGGGATTAGGTAATCTAAGTGTTCCTTAAGTGCTTTAGATTATAAAAACCAAAAGGCTAAATTATGCAATTTGTGTGCACCCCTACATTTGAATATATGGAAGTTTTACTTCTACCTGTTTAACGTTATAGAGTCTGTGAGGACGCATTAGGAAGCATGTACCTTCTTAGCAATTACACATGGAGTGACATCTTTGGGAATGTTTCTTTCTGTGCCTTCTCCCATCCAGCTGTACTGGTGAGTGTGGCTGGAAAGCTGGACCTATAATTTTACCTAACTACTTTTCAGGATGTTGGAATTGGAGGGCAGATTAAGGCTTCCTTTTGCTAATATACTACAAGATGACCTTGAGTAGGACTGGGAATTATTCTTCTTTTTATGGAGACTTATGAAGGAGAGTCAAGTATTGGAAAACATGGGGGTTTTTTGTACACCAGAATTTTGTTTGCTTACCTTATCTCTGAGTATTAAAGGCAGAAAACATGGATTATTTTCCTTTGCCTCAGGAGGAAATCACGCTATGAGAATTCCCCCATTTAGGTTTCTATTGAAGTAGAATATATAAAGCCAAACATAACTCTACATTAGAAGTACAGCTAATTGAATAATTTGACTGATTCATAGCAGTCAAGTAATACAGAAATTACTTTTTTTTAAATGATCTTTTTGCTTTATATTAAAAATCCAGCAGGTATGTCCACTACAAAGTTTTTGTTCTGGTTTATATTTACTATTGTCAGTTAATGCCTGTTGCTTCACTTGCTGTGCATGAGCAAGTGAAATCTAGCATCATTAATAGGCTCCTCTTTTGCAGGTGGATCAAGTGTTCTGTGAATTTCTTTCTGATGGTTTGTAAGGTTTATAGTTTGACCTTTGAATTTCTGAGAGCAAATGATAAAGAATCTCTAGTTTATGTCAAAAAAATATTAGAAAAGAAAATATTTTTCTGTGGAAAAATACCACTCCAGTGAGTTGGAAATTATTTTTCATTTGAGTAGCGCAAACAATAAAGATAATTACCCTGTTACAGTGACTGAAATGGTTTCTCATTTTAAGTGGTCTTTTAAGAAGTCAAAAGCTGTTTTTTAAAATTGTCTTAGTGTTGGAAAGCACAAGTGAGCATTAGACTAATTTTTTTTTTCTTGCTTAATCATAATGTTTGGGAGTGATCTTTCTTTTAGTAGTCAAAATATATTTCAAGTATCCTTTGTGCACTTTTAATCCAGGTTGTACCATTACCTTTTTGTACACCAGTAGCAATCCGTTCAATATCTCTGCTGTCTCCTGAAAGGACTCTCCTGCTGCCACTCTCCCTGGAATGTTTCAAGGCTTCAGTTTCATTGTCCTTCTTAAAAAGCTATAGGGAGCCAAACAGGAGATATCTTAAACTTTCAACAAGCACGAGCAGTCCATACATAGTGTTGGACAAAAGACCTGGCTTTTCAGTAATCATCGTGAGTTACTTTTCGCAAGTTGTCTTGCCTATTTCTGATTCTGTTTCACTTTCCACCTCATGTACCTTTCAGCTCTGAGACCTTTTAGGTAGGGATTTGTACATGTGTACGTTTACAGCCTAGAAAAAATTGAGTAACCTTACTTATTTTTACTTTACTATATTATTTATTTCAAATCTGTATCTAGCTAATTATTGGTGCCGAGTCCTGCATATGCATCTTTCAGTGTCTCTTCTTGTGCATGTGAAAGCCATATGATTCAAGCTATAATATTCACATAATGGTGATTTTCCTGTAGAAAAAGAAATTTTCAGAAAATTTTGTGACTTTTGAGTTTTTACACAATCAGATGGGTTAATGAGTTGAGAATATGGATAATCGGGTGTTCAGGCTACAAACCAGTATTTGCAGTGTTGGAGTTGGTAAGAAGATTTTTTCATTCCCATGGGAAGGTGGCTGTGACAGCAATTCATAGATCTAATGTACTGCAACCCTGTTTGGGAATAGGCACATAACAGTTTTTAGAAAGAAAAAACTCTCCAAGATCAGCCTGACATCTAAACAGTTCTTGCCACTGTGGCACTTCAGTGAGTGCTCCCATCATCAGATAGTCCTGCGTTCAAAATATTTGTAGTAAAAATTGAGGTTTGCTATCCATGGCACCGGACTGAGCTGTCTCGTAAGTAATCTTTTGCTTAGTGTTGATGTTTTTATGACTTCCAAAATAAAGATTAAACTTTCTGCTGCAAAAGTCTCTCCTGGGAGAGGACTCTCTCTTTTATCCTAGAATGAAGATAACTCTAGAGAGAGATGTTCATGCTGCTAGATTATTTTAAAATGAAAGGCAGAACTTCTATTTATCCTAGCCTTTCATTTGCAAAAAACTTCTCAAAAAAAGCTAAAGGGGAGGGCAATTTCTCACACATATATACACAAAAACCCAACATTCCAGCAACTGTCTGGGGAGTAGGATGAAATGCGCTCTGATGTCGAACCCCCCGAGCTGTTAGCTCGTTTTTGAGAGACGCTTTGACACTATAATATGGGGTTGCAAATTGGAATTGCAACAGCCTGTTATTGGGCCAAGTGATGAAGCGGCACAATAACTGCTTGCTTGATCTTCCCATTCTTTCTTTAATGTGTATGTAAAAGATACCGGGAGCCTTTCCAGGCTGCTAGCTAGGGAACTTCAGTCTGTGTGTGGTTCATGTGCCTATGTGTAAGTTTTACCAATATTTTATATAGTGTGCTAACTACAGGGCAAAGTTTCAAGTTTGATAACAGTTGAGTTTGGTTTATTATTAAAAGCTTATAAAAATACTAATTAAACTGGTGGATTATTACAGAGAATACAGTTCTTACGCTCTTGTCACAGGAGTTTCATAGGTAATTGGTCTTGACCTGCATGTCGTCTTTAATATTTCATTTGCTCTGGAATATTATTACTCACTTCCTTTAAGATGATAGCTAGGCTTTTTAAGCAGCTAAACTTCTGTTTAACCTTGCTATGAGAATGTGACAGTAGGCTAGTTCAGACAGGTTAACATTCATTTGGTAACCAGCCTGCTTAATCAGCCTGCTTCAACCTGCAGCAAATTAAATCTTTGTGAGTTCTAGAGAAGTGATAAAGTCATTCTGAATTATGTATAAAAATAAATGAGGTATTTTCAGTGTTTATGGAAGTAAATTAAGTTTAAGGCTTATGATTTATTCTTGGGTTTTTGTTAAGGATGATTGAATTTTATTTTATCTTAATGTTTTTACAGTCTAATTAGGAGGATGCTGTATTTCCGAAACATGTAATGTGTCTCATTCTGTGCCCTGCAAAAATACTAATCATTTTTATAGGATGTAGAAAATCTTTTTCTGCTCTCTCTGTGTTTCTTCTGAAGGAACCATTAGAAACAATATTTTAAACATACAGCCAGAACTATCTTTCTCGACGTCACTAAGAATTTTGTTATCGCCAAAATGAATTGTCTATTTTCTTTTAAGAGTTATTTCACACTGTAAATTTAGCCCACGTGTTATCAAGATGCTTCTGAAGATGCTACTTGTGATCACCAACCTCACTTCCCCAGGACCGATGTGCTTTCCAGAGAGGGCTGTAGGCCAGGTGTATGCTTAGTGTAAAGAAGTGTGTGCTTGAAATGCAAGGATGGTGCAGGTGGTTCTGATTGTAGAAAAGTGTACAAATCTCATTTTTAGTTGTATCAATTAGTACATTTTTAAATGCAATGTCAGCTCAGATCTTCAAATATTATTGCATGTTTGCAGGCTTCTAATAATTTTGCCTTTCAAATGACGCTAGCTTTTTTCCACTTGCTGTCTTGTTAGTTTGCAGAAGTTGAGATTTAGGCATACAGCAACAGGCAAACGTGCTGCTTCTGTTGGCACTGGCTAATGAACATCTCTCCTGTCTTTGCTGATTGCAGTTTCACCAGCATCGCTGGGTTTATGTATGTCCATGTTCATGTGAGAAACATAGCATGTGTCTTTGACATTAATGATGACTGGATGGAGATGGAGATTGTGTCTTTTATATTGTCTGGCAATAAATTGTTCTTCAAGATTATTTTTTTCCCCAAGATAACTGTTTTTAATTAGTTGCATCAGTACTTACCATCTTAACATTTACTTATTGATTAGGAAGGAAAAATTTACATTTACTTTATCAAGGCATACCACTGTAAAAGTTATCATGTACAAATAATGGTTTAAACTTCAGTGTTGATTTAGGAGATAATAACAATTCAAGTCAGTTTTGAGTTTGCAATTCTATTTAGTTTGTTTTGATACTTTGTGCATACAAACCTGTAAAATTCCCCTGTTGTTTCTTTGAATATTTTTACATAAGGAATCATTTTACTTTTCCAGGCTTCTTTCTTTATGTTTGCATAATTAATTTGGTCTTCTGAAGTGCAGTCTTCAGTTTGAATCTCAAAGCACCCTTAAAAAAAAAAAAAAACAACCTTCAGTTGAGACTATGGCTTTAATAAACGGTCATTGCTTGCTTCATAGATGACTCTAGCTGCATCAGGACTGACTTTTCCTTGCCATCGACTTACAGTTGGAAGAAGATCTTCACCTGTACAAACGAGGGAACAGTCAGAGGAGGTAAGATCATCCTTATTTAACAAGGATACTTCTTATGGGAAGAAGCAGGGGAAGCTCATTTTGCCATGGTCACTGTCCCTTCTGTTGTCAAATATGTCAGTAGAATTGCATCTTAAAAGAATCAGTTTACAATTACTGTAACATGTAACTGTGTCAAAGTAAGGAACTGAGTGAATGTGTCATTGAAGAAAAAGAGGAAAAACAAAGTAAGCAAGCCACAGGTTACTATGCATTGAAAAATACTCCAAATTAAACAGAAGGCTGAAACATAGTGTTTTAGCATTAGCAGAGATGTTTTCAGACTGTCTAAACTCTCATTTTATTGTTTCAGACTATTAATAGTTTGGGTTAAAATTTCTAATGCCTTTGTCCTTCCTCAAAATGAATTTAATATAAGCAGTTTCTCATTTTCCTTACACTTTCCTTACCATTTTATTTAGAGAACTTCAGGATATAGGGATTATCTTGCTGCACAAAAAGGATGTGTTTCAATCTGTTCAGCTCAGTTGAGCTGGCAAAGATGTAGCTGTGGGGTATGGTCAGATGCAAGCCTGGATATATGCTGTTGGATAGTCGTTCAAAATTAGAGGATGGTGAGACAATGCTGTCCTAGCTATACCTGAACTGCTTACAAATTAAATAGATAGTTACTGTTTTCTCCTAGGACCTGCCAGAGTAACTGTGTCATTTCTTCTTTACCTCATTCTTTCAAAATTACCTGAGTTTGTCCACCTTGTAGAATTTTCTTGTGGGCTTGTTCATTCAGAAAACATTCTTTATTTGAAGTTCTTAGTATGTAGCTGTTGTAGGGACTGATCCAGCATCTTTGGAGCTCTTTGCTCCTCTCGTGGTCACTTGCATGCTAGAGCTAAAATCCCACCTTCCATAATATGCTTGGTTGCACCTTCAGGGCTTCATGTAAATTTCCTGTAGTGTACTATCTCTGTAACTCCCAGGTCAAGTGGAGCTGGAATAGTTGTTCATAAAAAGAAGTCAGTTTAGAGGCAGGTTGACATTGAATAGTTAAAACCAATTTTTTTCTGAACTGTTTAATATTTCAGAGGACATGAAATCTAAAAGATCTGACAGTGGGAGCTGGAGACACAGATGGGACCTTAACTCCTTGCACAAAAATGTTAGCACATTTTTGTGTTAACCGTAGTACCATTAGATAGAAAATAGCATTACTATAAAATTTGCTCAACCGAGTGTATACAGAGCCAGTTCCTTAGTTATTTAATAATGCATTTTGTCACATAATATTACTCTACGAGCCAGACTTCTGTTAAAAATAGATCTTTTTTATAAAAAGCAATCTGATAATGTTGTATGAAATAATAAAAAAATGCAGTATATCGAGTGTAATAGAAATGCATATTTTTCAATATGTATGTATTTCATATTTCACTGGAGATTATGTCTGTACTAGAGGCTTATGGTGAATTTTGGTTTTTGTTTTTATATAGCAATGCACTGATGTTCATATGGTTAGTGACAGTGACGGAGACGACTTTGAAGATGCTACAGAGTTTGGAGTTGATGATGGAGAAATGTTCGGAGTAGCATCATCTGCCTTGAGGAAATCGCCAATGAGTAAGACTTGACAGTTGATTTACAATTAATTGGCGACTGTACAGCACTAGTGAATGCAGAGAAGAATGATGGCTCTGCATAGTAAGAAACAGGAAAAAATCTTTTGATAGGAACATTAGAATTGTTTGAGTCTCATGTCTGATGGGTGTGTCAAATGAAAATGCTGCAAATGCACTTGGCAACTATGAAAGCATCTCCCTATGGAGGAAGTGTTTTAACCTTAATCTTCCTGTAGATAACTAGATTTCCACTTCTCTATTTTGAAAATTCTATAGATTATACCTTCAGTATCTTGTGGTGATGAATATTTTTAGTCATTTACATTAAACAAGTTTCTCAGTGATTATTTGCCCTTGAATTATGAAAAGGATTGAGCAGGAGCAGCCAGTTACCTCCTATATGCAGTGGTACATACTCTTTTTTTACTTTAGACTTACACTAGTGTTATTACCTTAGAAATTTTTGACAGCAAATATATGTAATAATATGGAAATTTTTTTAACAGGAAGTTAAAAAAAAAAAAGGAAAGAAAAAGAAAAAGAAAAGTACCTAGCAATACGGTGGGCCAAGCCAGTCATTTCATTTTAATGTATTAAAGTAAGTCCAGAGTGTTAACTCTGAACAAGCGGTACATCACATTACACTAGACCTGAGGATTTTACTCTTTGGAAAGCCTGAATATATTCATGAGAGCGTCTGGGTATTTCATGTCTTTCCAAAGGTTTGTAGTTGATAGTTATGAAATTTATGTGATCTCTTGGTAACCACTTCAGTAAGCTATCAATATAAGAAAAATCTATGAAGCAAGTGAGCTTGCATGTTAAAATCTGTTTCTATAAGACTGCTTTTTTTTTTTTTTTTTTTAAGTGCCAGAAAATGCTGAAAATGAAGGAGATGCCTTATTACAATTTACAGCAGAGTTTTCTTCAAGGTAAGCTTAGCCTATTAACTGTGCAATTCTTGTTACAAACTAAGTAAAATTTAGTAGATAATGAAAATAAAAATAAACCAAATGTACATATTTTTTTGTGGCTTCATAGTGTATTCAGACATCCTAATCTAATTTATTTTAAGGTTAACTTTGTTAGAACTGTTTCTGAAATAAAATAATTTCTTAGTCCAAGTTGGAGTGACAGATTTTGCCTTATTTTATTTGCCACTAATTAATATCATTACTTAATTATATAAGGGTCCAGAAGGATGATAATGACTCTGATTATGTATAGTAATTTTAATACAATATACAGGAACAGAAAAGCTGAAACTGATTAATGTTGAAAAATATATACAGAGTTGCAGTAAGATTTTTCACAACAATGAAGTGGTTGGTTAAATCTCTATTTTTAAAAAATATAGAAACACTGCTTTTTTAACTTTATACCACCAAATCATGCATTGTTAAACAGTTGCCATGTTTCATCAAATAGGTATAAGCTGCAAACTAATATACTGCAAAGTAATGCAAAGTTTAATATGCCTTCTGTTTTCACTCCTCTGTGATGAAATGTTTATTTATATATATGAGATGTATTAATGTGTAATACAAGAATAGCCTTCAATTAATCTGCAAGGATATAATAAAGAGAGGAAATAAGTTATGGTTGAAAAATTATTTCAAATGTAAGGTGTATGTAAACAGAAAGTTTTTACAGTAAAATTTGTAAGGTGGCAGTTAGTTACTTTGAGCTTTTGAATCTTTGGGGTAGGTAGATTTTAAAGGACAGAAGGGAAATCTTTAGAAGTGTGGTACTTCCTCTTTCTATAGGTTTAGCCAATGCATTATATTTACAGAGTACATGAAGAGGTAGAATATTGTAATAACTTATTTTCATAATTTTTTATTAATTGGAAATTTTATTTCAATAGATATGGTGACTGCCATCCAGTTTATTTTATTGGATCATTAGAGGCTGCTTTTCAAGAAGCCTTCTATGGGAAAGCCAGAGATGTAAGTGTGAATTAAAATTACTTTATTTAATATAGGAGGAAAATGGAAATCACTCTAAATGTTTCATCTTTATATTAAAAAAGCTAAGCTACACTTTTGGAGTTATCTGGGTTTTTACTGTTTGTGAGAAGTTATACTCATTTAGTTGACTTACCTTGGTTGTTGTTGAAATTACAGTGAACAACTAATGGCTTTCTGATCATTCAGAATGTACTTTTCTTGGAGTCTTCTAGTCATCAGAGCTACTCTTTTTTCTTTTTTCTGCCTCCTCTCCCTTTTCTTCCTGAAATAATGGTGTCTTAGCACCACATAACATTGGCTGCAAGTCTTGGGGTTGACAAGTTCAACATTGCATGTTGGTAACTTCTTTGAAGGATGGCTAATGAAATTGTAAATTTAAATTGAAAGGTCTCTGAAATACAGTGTGCTTTTTTTCCTTTGTACAGCCTTTATCTGCCAAGTAAATTCCAGTACTAAGGTGTGGTTATTTAGTTTTTCTGTACATCCAGCCAGACATCTCAAGTTTCTGTTATTCCATGCACAGTTTTAAAATCAGTATTTTAATAAAATTAGAATGGGGATAGTTTATTTAAGTTTTGGTGACTTGAATTCGCTAAGGAGAAACCCAAACCCCTGCATAATTAAGCACAGATAAAGCTGAAACACAAACAAGAAAATCATGCTGTTTACATTAACTTTTCATTGTCTTGATAGATATTTAATTTTAATTTCATGTTTTGGCTTCCTGTAGTTACTCATATCGGAAGGAACAGTGATGTTATATTAGGGGCTGCTGTGATAAGTGTGCAGTGTTACAAATCTACACCGTATAGCTTAAGCTGACACATGCTTAACCTGCGCACAAATAGTTTTCTCACACTCTTTAAGTTTAGTAAATATTTTCATGTCCTTGTGCAGATTTCAGAGCATAAATGGATACAGAATAATTCAGTGGCAAAAGATTAATAATAACTCATTAAAGTGGAACTTAATGCGTGTTTAAAAGAAATCAAATTTATTAACTCAACAAGATAAGTGTTTGAGTTAGGAAGTTCAGTTTGTGTCATTTCATCAGAAATGGTTGACAGTGTATCACTATAATAATGGATGAGAGCTCACTAGGAGTTTTCATAAATATTTTTTTAAATCTGGAAATCTAATATTAATGTATTGCCATTATTTATTTTTTTAATACTGTAAGTACTTTATATACCACTTACATAGGACATCTGAAACTCATGTCACCTTATATTTCTGATATTTTGCGATGTAGTCAGAGCAGATCCTCATCAGGATAAAGTTATATACTTTGAAAAGTATTATTTTTGTGGCTTTTTTTTTTTTTTTAAATTTTGAAAGCTGTTCACCCCCAGCTACCCTCTGGAATTACATTATTTTTATTGTAACATTCTGATTTAAAACAAAGGTATGAGAATGTACATGCACCATTTATTTTTATTGCATTTTTCCTGTTTCAAACAAGTCTTTTTAGTACTGCCTCCTGGAATTCATAATTGATTAAAAGGATACATTATTTTATATTTTTATAATTGTATTTCATAAAATAATTCAATATGTATATCAGTATAAGAAAAAAAAGCTTAGGAGAAATTGCAACCTGTATGTCTTTTCTTCTAATTTATACTGTGGAGGGCACTTAATTTTACCAGGGCAACAGATGAGTTTCAGGCACCAGCATTCTTCACTTGAAGAGAGAAATTGAGTTCCAAGAGTAAATAAAAACAAGATTGAAGGTTTAAATCCTCTGCTAGGCTTTTTGAACTTATATACTCATTAAATGTTTATTGGAGTGGTGGGATTACGAAGGATTTGGGTAGCTTCATCAACTGGTATATACTTAATCACTAAGTAAAACACTACATTTGATAGAGTGTTTCTCACGATGCCACACTCAATCCATCTTAATGAAAACCGCTTCAAACTGATTTAATTTGAGAGCACTTGGCAGCTTGAGTGCTCAGAGTTCTTAGCCTTTTCTTGACAAATTCTCAACACTGTCCAGAGCAGAAGGTGTACTCTACAGTTCAGGCCTAGTGAGGCAGCCATCACCTATGTTTTAAATCTCTATTGTGGATCATTTTTCCCTCCAAAAAATCCCAATATATATCAACTTGAAGCCTTTTTGCAGAAATATTTTAGTTTGGGTTATTTTAAGAAAATTAGCTTACGTCAGTTAAACACAAATTATGGGTTAAAATTCTTTTTAAGAATATAGATGTTCTGTTAAATCTTTGTGTCTTTCTTTTTTCTTTTGTTGGAAAGGATGGTAATTCATAGTTGCTTAAGGAAAATACTACTTGAGAAAGAAATACCTTGTAAAAATGTTTAGATATTTGTCTGTTACCTGTGTTTTGTTTAGCTTTTATTGTTACAGTTTTTTGAGTCTCTAGATATTTAAGATTAACATGCATGGTGGGTCTTTTTTTCCTTTAGAGCAACTACTACCATGATATATAGTGCCATTTCTAGGTAGGAGAGATGAAAAGAGGTCAAACGTAGCTCTACTTTAAAACCTATATATCTCTTTAGCACCAAAATACAATAGCCAAGATATAGAGCTTTCCCTTCCACTACCAGTGTCCTTGGCAATAAAATCCCCAGTTAACTCCTGCAACCTGATAGTTCAGGGCATTGTGTTCATTTCCAAAGCTTACTGTATATACCACACAAGAAAATATTTTCTTCTTTTTTTTTTTTTTTTTTTTTTTTTTTAATTGGATGTGGAAGAGAAAGAGAGACAGAGATTTATTAAATTAACAAGTAAGTTCTTCTTTTGTGAAATTCTTTCTCTGCTTATTGTGGCAATTGGAAAGGAGCATTTCTCTGCTGTATTACTTCATGAAGAACAAGCTTACTCTTGCTCAAGGAGCTCTGCTGTCATAGAAATAACTAAACCAGATACCATGGAGGAAATCTAATAATGCACAGTTTTAAGCAAGATGTTTGCAGGAGCTTTCTTTGTGACTAAAAGCTGTTTGTGGGTGCCCTGTGTTCTGAAACATCCAGGGGTTTATCCTAACTTGGAGGGGTATTGTTATTAATACAAGATCTTAATTGCTATATTGAATCTCACCGAGCTATTTACTTGACTAATACTAAAGTATTTTCTTTTATGGAAGCTTGTTTGCTTTTTCATTTTGTAGGTGGTTGCTACTCTTTTATTAGGAGAAAGAATAAAGACATCTGCTTTACCTTTTCAGGAGCTCTTATCTTTACATACCTCTGTCAGATCACCTCCTGCTCCTCTCTCAACCTTTCTGTCCACTGACTTTTAATAAATATGTGAAACATCTCTCTTAGCACAGATTGGTATTGTCACCTCAATATATATTCCAGCCTACTGGAAATGAACCACGTTTTTCTTCTTGAATTCTGTCTTTTAGGTTCAATTTAGTGGCAGCACCCTCTCTCTTACATATGGGTACTTTATTTTCTGAATACCTGGAAGAAAGTATGCTCCTTCCATCATTTGGCATGTTCAAATAAAAGCTTTATTTGTTTTGCCTGGTGGTAGAAGAATATTCCTTCATACGGGGCTTCCTGTAGTATCATTTTTGTCTGTGTAACTCAGAAAACTGTCCCTCGTTATTATTTCAGCTAATTAAGTTAATGCTGAACATAATGCAGAAAAAAGATTCTCAGAGATAATTATTCTGATTTCTGTTAGAGCACATTATAGAAATAGCACTGAGTGCTCTCCAGTTTTCTTGTCTCAGAAGAGAAATTTGAAGTGTGTCTTTTAGATGCTACCTCATGTAGAGAGAGGTTCCGAATCCCAATTGCAGGACAGCTTTTTGGTTTAGTCTTTGTCATATTTTTTCCTCCATTTATTCCCTAAATACTGCAGAGCGATGTCAAGGAGTACAGCTTCACCATCACCTTTTACTTCAACTCCAGCCACATTTCAAGTCAAGTCGAATTGTTACTCCTGCATTTTTATAAGGGTCTTGATCATATTGTTTATCCTAGATGTGCTTTGAAAATGCACCTGTGGTTGAGCTGTCTGAGTCCTAGATGGAGAAATGACTACTTTACAGATTCTGATTAAACACGAATAACCTGAGCACTAATCTTCATAGTCTGTTTGAAACTGTAGAGGACAGGTATAGAAGTATAACTCTAGGTTCCCAGGAAAAGAAAAGCATCTTCAGATCCTCTCCTAACAAGCCTAGAGGCTGGTTAGTGCCCCTTGTCTGTCTGTCTGTCTTTGGTGTCTGTCTCCTTTGTTTTGACTGGTGCAGGGGAGTTTAATAATGCTTGTCTTCAGCAGGTTTTGTTCAGTGTAATACGCTGACAAGGCTTCCTATGAATCTCCATCTGCCCTATTCCTGCTTTGATCCTTTTCCAAAGTGGAGTCAATTCGAAGATGTGTTGCCTTGGTGTTAGAGAAGGTTTGCGTTCTGCTTAGGGAAAAATGGATTGTGCACGATAGAGTAACTGTGTCCATATGATCACCAAGATCACCTTAGACAGGTGGATCAGATTGTGCACTTTAAAGGCTTGAAGATGTGCAAATGTTTCCCTTTGTTCATTTGAATTAGCTCTCACTACATAAAACATAGAGGGGGAAATTAAGATCTTGACTGATTAGCCTACAAGCTTGAAAGAACATTCATGCCTCTAGCAGATGTTACATCATGAACATTTTTGTGTCAGTCATTACCTGAACTTGTAAACCTGTCAGGTCTGTGGTTTCGCTGACTCTTATGACTGTATTGCTGTTCCTGTTCTTCTGAGGTATCCATGTTATTCATATTATTAGGAACTGGCTGAGGAGCTTGGTTATCCCATTGCCCAGTGATTATCAATTTAGTCTCTCACCCTCATGAAGATCTGTGTTTCTTTCTGCCTCAGTGACAACTTTCCCTTATTTCTTCTAATTCTGTACAGAGTGTGTTAACTTTTCTGAAGTTGCAAAATACAAAAATGCCCAAGTGGATGGCTTAGCCATCTCGGTGCATAGGACAGATCTTTAATGTGTTTGTTTCATGTGTGGGAGTGTATGTGCATGTTGGATCTCTTGGTCAAGTGCATCGGTTTATGTGGCAGGAAGCTGCAATACTTTGGATGATGTGGCAGAGAGGTTTCATGGTGAAAGGCTGCAGCTGGGAAAAACGTCCCTCTCGGGGGCTGCTCTGCTGCAGTACAGTGTCCATCTACAGCCCATGTTTCCTTCCAGGGTGCCATGTGCTGGGCATATTCCATCTACAGATCAAAATCAGGCAAGAGAGGGCTGCGGTGCTTCACTGAAAATATATGGTGATGGGTGTAAGGCAAAGGAGCAGAGTCAAGGCTAGCCGAGTCCCATGCAGTCTGAATGCAACGGAGGTTTTAAAACATCCAGACTTCAAGCAGTGTTTTCTAAAGACACTTAGATAACCAATGCTGAAAGATGCTGAAAACAGTGCCTCTTTCTCATGGCTTTCTTTCCTCTGAAAGAAAATGAAACCTGGAGCTTAGACTTCAGACTTTTAGGACGTTAAGTCTTATTGACATTGATGAGACTTAAACTCCCAAGTATGTTTGTAAATCCAGGCTCTTTCTGAAAATTCCAGTGTATGACTGCCTGATCTTCAGCATCCACATACTCTGAAAAATACATCTCTGGAAGGCTTAAGTTCCTGAAGTCCTAAGGCTTTTGGAAGTACATCAGCTATTCGGTACTTAGAACCTTTTCAGTATCCCATATCTTCATAGGGACTAGAAGAAGTTCTTCCCCATCAGGTCTTTTTGGTTAGTTAAAATCTTATGCTAAGTATATAACCCCTGAGTCCATTGTATTTTTGAGAAATCCAACACAGAACAGACTGCTCCATCAGTAGGCTTCTTTTATGGAAGTCAAGAGTGTTGATCAGTTTAGTAAGCCTATTTTATCATTATTGACTAAAAAATTCCCAGTATGAGTCATCATAGAATCCTAGAATTTACTCTTGATTTTTCAAAGGCTGGAAATAAAAACAACAAAAACCTGCTTATAAATGTTTACTACCATGGTTTAGTAAAAAATCCAAACAAAACCCAACAAACTCCAAGCTGGGAGCCTTTTGCAACATTGCATTTTTGCAAGGACAAAATATCCCTGGCTTCCACTAAGATTTTTCAAAATCATATTTCAGCACTTCAGTTCCTCCTGCTACCTCTTTTCATTTGTCTTAGCAGTATTCCTGTGCCTGACCTTAACATTTTGGATGAATTATCAGACACAAGTACAGTCTTTTATATATGATGGAGTTTAGTCTTTACTCAGTGAGATTTGTTGATGTAACAAAAATTACATTCACTTGTAAAGTAACTCAGTGTAAACATCCATTGTGTATGTGCCTGTTTTGTTTACTAAAATTTGTCCCTAAATCTTTAAGCCTAAAACTGTACATATTTTGAAACATTCTGTTGTATGGAATCTCATATTTAACAGTTTCATGGGGTTGTTTCTTTGGAAGTAAAAGTGTTTCTCAAGAGCCTTTTTTTCTATCCACTCCCAGTGAAAAGAGGAGAGCAAAGCCATCCGCTTACCACAAAGCAGTGCCACCACAAAGGAAAGATTAAGGGTTTAGAGAGAGGTCAATGTGGGTTTTTCTCTAACTAAACACTTTCCTAAAGTTTCCTTGTGGAAAAAATAATGAAGTCATCTCAGAGTTTTTAAAGAATTTTTATTTCTTTTTCACCGTCTGCATTCGCTTGTCTTCTCAGCATGGATGTTTAATCTTTCTAGGCTTTGTGAATTGGTCCAAATGAATAAGTGGTGAGCTGTCTCTCTAGGAGCTAGAGGCTTATTCTAAGGCCCTAATCACTGAGTAAACACATCTTTGCCCTCCCTCTCTTACAACTGCTATATAATAGTCGAGATTCTAGCACAGTAACCTGGATATTGCAGGGATCGACGCTTTGAAATGCAGAATGGCTGATCCTCAAAAACAGACAGTGCCTGATCTTCCCCTGGCTCTTTCTTCTTTTTAAATTAAATATCACCACAGAAATGCTGTTTTATTGCTTGATATTGTGCATCAGTGCCCTGGATTTTCAAGTTTAGTTTCAGTCAACATTGTTGGCTGCACTTATATGGGTCTCTACATGTTGGGCTTATTAATGGTCCATCCTGGCACATGTGTATGTGGTTCTGAAGAACATTTAAATTAAATTAGACAAACATTAATGCAAATTACTAATCCCTTTCCCAAAGTCTAATGTTCAAATGTATTCTTCTTTTTATAAACAGTCATTAAGTTTTGTCCAAAGCCAGCATACAAGGTGATAGCCATAGAGGTTTTTTACAAAGACAGCTTCTCTCAGAATTGCATCCCATGTCTTGCTATATCAATACATGTCAATATCTAGTGTTCAGTGTTACTTCTGATGAAGAGATTTGGAGTTACTTTAAATGAAAGTCTGAAAATAGCATTTACTGTATGGTCTCAGCAAATACGTTCAAGTAGGATTTTAAAAGAAATTAAGTAATATATATGGGTGTGGGGGAATGGAAAGTTGTAATTTTCTGAATGGTATTTATAATTCGTTGAATACCAGATACAGGATCATGGTCCCTAACTAGCTTGTGGTTTCTGTATTGTTTTCTAAGTCTGCTTTTTATCTTTACATACACATAGACTCGCTTTCCAAAAGGTGGTCTGAGATTATCATGGGGACACAGCACAGCTCTGTGCTGCTGGCAATGAAGCTCAAATATTACTTGACAGGGTTTCAGAACATGACACTGAATATTTTGTTTCAAGAGGCCACAAACATCATCCTCAACATCTAGTCTTTGCTAATATGGTAACCACGATGAGATACATCAGTGCACACCAACTCAATATGGGATTTGATCCAGGTCTCCTGTACTCCTTCCCTTGTGTCTTACACATTTACAGTGTTGGGGTGGCTATATGCCCCTCAGCTCCACAAGAGAGGTAGCCAAATGGGCTGACACGTGGCCTTTTGACCAGCTAGACACTGACTCGTGAACTAGGTGAGACGCTGATGTGCTGTGGGCCTCCCCACGTCATAGGGCTGGATGGAGAGCTGCCAAAACATCCAGCAAGTAGCATCACAGGCTTTGGGACTGTAGGCAGCTGTATTTTTACTTACTCTTTTTCCTCTTTATTTGGCTACAGATGGGGGCATAGCAATACACTGTCATTTTTTAAGGTTGTTTATATTTGTTTAGGGTCATAGATACTGTTGTATCAGTAGATGTGTACCTTGCTCAGGGAATTGGTCCAAATGTTATCTTTACTGGGCAGCAAGTCAAAAAAGTTTGCTCATTTTTTAAGATTTTTGATTTTTGCATTCAAATGTTGTTATTTTCACGTTCTAAGTATATAATGTATTTATTGTGTTTTGGTACCCAAAATAAAATTTTAGGAAGCATTGAGATGTTTTACAGATTTGGAGGGGTGCACCATTTGACTTGGAATCTGCTGTTTGGTTGGTTTTTTTTTTTCCCCGGTGTATGCACATTTGGATACTCGGCACCCTTGATGAACACCATAGGACGTACTAACACATAAATCTGCAGCAGTAATTTTAAATTATTAAGTAGCCTGAGGGAGTTTTTCACTGATCAATCTTTTCTTGTGTTTTTTCAGAGAAAGCTTCTTGCTATCTACCTCCACCATGATGAAAGTGTACTAACCAATGTCTTCTGCTCACAAATGCTCTGTGCTGAATCTATTGTCTCCTATCTGAGTCAGAACTTCATCACCTGGGCATGGGACATGACAAAGGAAGCAAACAGAGCAAGGTAAGATGCTTTGGACTGTGAGTGGAACAGCTTTGCTCTCAAAGACGAGTGTCATCTGTGTATCAAATCTTTTGTTGCTTGATGTCTATTTGAACTAAAAACTTTGTGCTCATTCTTAGCTGATCAGTGAACCTGTGCTGGCTGAAGTTCACTGGGAATTGGACTGTCCTTGTTTTCATTACAAGTTGACTTCTTATTCCTGTGCAGGCAAAAAATAGTTGAAGAAATTGTTTCCCCACTTCCTTTTTTTTTTTTTTTTTTTTATTTTTTTTTTTTTTGGTGAGTTTATTTTGCAAGCAAAGTTCTAGGAACATGTCTTCATAGTTTTGCATTGCAGTGCCCTGATATTATGTGACACCAATTGTATGTACATAGGTGTAACTGCATTAGAACTGTCTGGGATACTAACTACTGTTGTTAGTGAAAATCTTATTTTAAAAAAACCGTTTGTATGATAAATTAATATGAAAAACAGATTATGCAAAAAATTAGAAGCTTGTAATTCATATGAACTTTTTTGAACTAAAAGTTTCTTACAGAACATTCCTTTGGTAATATTCAGATATTTTGTTAGGTTTTAATATTATAGAAACTATCCTATATCTTAAGCCATCATTTTGCTGATGACTAAAGACATTTTTAAAATGTAGATTACACTTCCTTCTACATCTTTTGTGTGATACCAACAAATTTTCTTACCTTTATATTAAGACTTCTCTCTTTTAGTTATTTATCAGTTGATCATAATCTTTTGAATATAACTATTTTATGATTATACTTACTATATTTAGAAATCAGACTTGTTTGGTTTTCTAATTTGGACCTTATTTCTTCACCTTTATTTACATAGAAGATAACTCCTTACCAGGATAATGTCTTGTGTATATTACTATAATGAGAGTTATTCTAACTTTTGAACAAAATATGCAACAGTCATTTGGTCTGGGATAGGTTGCCAATTTTTAAAGAATTCCATTGATTATAGAACAATTAAAAGTACATGTTTATGATTCTTTCCCTTTTGGATTGCTAGAAATTTGGTATCTTTATAGCGCATTCATGCATTCCTATTCTTAAATACATAACCTATAATTAATATTTCTTCACTGAAAGTGGGCATGGAGACCAGAACAATCTGTTTTTCTAATACACTTTTTAAATGACCCTTGGGTTTCACAGGAATTCCTCACTTGACCTTCTGTATAAGTCATTGGACAAATTAGCAGCTATGTTCCTAGTACAAATTATTCTAGGGAAGAGTTAAAGATTATGGAAAAAAGCAGTCACGAAAACAGATAAAAAGGGTTTTTTTAAAAAAAAGAAAAGATAGAGAGAGGAAAAAGAAACATCTAGGTTCTTTCATGGGACCAAATACATAGACTGGAAAGTTGCTTAAGTCTTTTGGTATTGCCATTCATGGGCAGTAAGGAGCCTCCTCCTTTCTTTTATCCTGCAAGTTGGTGTAGAAGGAAACACTATTTCTAAACCATCTGTAGTGGCTAAGTTCAGTTGACTACCTGCTGTTCTATTGTTCGCTTTTCTGTTTAATTCTCTAGTTTCTTTTATTTTACAATGACAAAAAATTGCAGTGTAGTTTCTTTTGAAAAACTGTGTTTGAGGGTTTTTTTATGACCGACGATCAACAGCCATGTAATTGCTTTGTTGTGTTTTACTAAAGAAATCTATTAAGTAGCACAACTTTGATACACTAGTAATAAGAGTTTGCAGGTTACAGAGACACCTGTGGTGACCAAAGCGACAGAAGCTGCTTATTAGAAAGAGCCTGTACAGCTGTGTCCTATTAACTCCTTATGACACTTCTTAAAACACAAAACAAAGGGCTTGTTTAAGGCTTTATAGCTATTCTCAATGAGCCTAGTCACCGATTGTGCAGTGCGATAGGGTTTTTAAGCCTTCATTTTTTGCTTTCTGTTAGCAACAACAAAGAAACTGTCATATTAACAGTGAGGTCAAAAAATAGTAAGGGGTAAACAAGGCATGCTGGCTCGAATTAGAATAATTTTGTGATTGTGTTTAGTGTCACATCCTGCTCCTTACACTGTGATTTCTTCAGAGGGGGCATGATGCTTCTTTCTGCTTTTGGAAAGTGCCAATGCACTGTGGGCATTCCCATAAATAAATACTCGGTACCGCTGTTTAACTACTGCCCTTCATTATGTGACACAACGGCAGTGGTCTTGGAACTCTGATCTGTATCCCTATGAACACAGTTGCATGTAGCTTTCTGTTTGAATGGTGAGAAGACAACGGCAACAACAGAAGGAACTACTTTTTGTGAGCTGGTGTAGCCCAAGAACAACTTATTTGTGCTGTTAAAATTGCATTAGTGGAAAAGCCAGGGTGGGAAGGCAGAGGAATCAGGCCCACTTTATTTACAGCAGCCAACAGGGACGCCTTAGTGTCAGTAGTAAAAGACAGGTTTCAATACTCTAGCATGGCTTGAATTAATTCAGATATAAATACTTCCCTCATATAAGTAAAAAAAATCTTGAATATTCTGATGTTTTACTTGCTCTTTGCTGTCCTCTTTCAGACATCTATGGATGTCATTCCATTCCAAAAACAGTCTTAGTAGTAGTTTCCATTTTTCTCATTAATGAAATGACAGTCCATCCTGAACACTGTAGAACAAAACCAGCTCCAAAATCTTGTCGTTTTTCCTGATTTTTAATATGTTTCTCAGCTGACGCTGATGTAGGGACATGCTTTGAATCCTGTGTTACTGTACAGTAGCACTTAGCTGCAATCCCTCAATCTTGTTCTTCAACACCCATTGCAACAGAGTGAAGAGAGTTTTGTAGGTAGGACTAGAAGTAAAACGCTGCGTGCAAGCACCAGGGTAACTGTTAGCAGTAGCACAGGAGCATAAACATGACTTTGGGAGTCAGGTTTTTAAAAAAATTTCTAACTACAGCCACCCAGGACTGTTACTTTGTCAAACTGCAGGAGAACTTTAGTTAATACAGTTAAGAGGATGTTTTGTTTTGGCTTCCACAGCTTTTAATAACCTCTAACATAAGGTTGTGGGAAAGGGAGTAATTGCTTTGGGTAAGTGCTGCAAATTATGAATCGTTTCATTACTAGAATAAAAAAATCATAATAAAAAGGTACAAAATAATATAATAAAATAATTAGCCTTCATTTAAGAAAATAACATGGTGTTTTTATAATACTGTTAAGGAATCTATGTGAAAGCTTTATCACCTATAGTTTAAACTTTAGTTTATTGAGCAACTGTTTGGAATATTCTTGTAGTTTACATTATCTGTGGTCAAAGGAGGGAAAAAACCCGCAAAGCTATAGGTATATCTTCTACTTTCTTGTTATATTCCACTCAATTTGGAGTGAATCATAAGCTTAAAAATCACTGTTTCCTTTCCATGGAGGTGTGCTACAATGCCACTCCAAACAGCAGAAATATACTCGTGGCAGGTGTCAGGGCAGTAGTAGTGGTGTTTGACAGCAGTGGTGCTGACAGTTCTGGCCCTGCCTTTTGGTCTGAGCACGCGGTGCAGCAGCTCACCAGCTGCATTGTGCCATCACATGGGCTAAGTGATTCCTCAAGTCTTCAGAGAGGTTATGGGATAGTTAAGCAGGAGAGCCAGTGATCAGGAGCTATAGTTCTGGCACTTTCTGACTTCAAAGAGTTGACTAAAACCCATTATTCTAATATAATCATGTGCATGTGTGTGAGAAGTGTATTTATATGTGTGTATATATATATATATGCAAGCACATGCCTAACTACATATTTGTATCCAGGACAGGTATATAGTGAATATATATACATACGTATATACCCACACATGCACACATACCCTTATGTTTGTACACACAGCATTTACAAACATAGATTGTGCATAGTATTAACAGATTTCCAATGTACACGATGTTTGTCAAGCCAAGCAATACCAAACCATAAAACTGACTCGAATGTCTGTAGCAGCTTTTTAGCTTTTGATATCGTTGCCCTTGGGCACTGTATTTCAAGGTGTTGCCAACTTTTCTCAGCTCTGATGACAGGTACTTGTTAGATTTAATGTTCAAATGATAGTTTTTCACTTTGCTTAAGCTTAGGAAAGAGTTAATTGACTAAAGTGCTTCTCAGCAGCAGGTTGTCTTCACCTGCAATTTCCGTCATCAAGTAATTAGCCATATTCACAGTTGCTGACCCTTGATACTAACCTACTGAATGATGCATGCCTGGATGAAGACCAGTTGACCATATTACTCCAGCTTGCCAATCCCATTTGATCCGTCAGCAAATATATTGCAGGTGTGGGGTCTGTGGGGGCTGGACTCGATGAGTTAATTTCTCACTGCAACTTCAGGAGTGACCATAGATTCTGTATGTTACTTGCAAAAACTGTTGGACGTGTTCTTTGGGTGCTAAATCCTTAACAGGTTTCGCAGAACAGTGTGAAAAACTTATCTATTGTATTTTGCAATATTTTATTTAATTTGCTTTAATAGCAATACAGTGCTAGTTAATAAAAACAGGTCAAAAGTCTAATTAATGTTTTAAAAATAAAGGTTCCCAAACATGGGGCGAGCTTGTCATTTTCTATGTGGTTTGGTTTGAGGAGGAAGAGGAAAGAAGGTGAGGAGGGAACCCTTCTGTTCCATGATTACATCCCACCCGCTCATTTTCTCCTTTTCTCCTTTGCTTTTGATTTTAGTGGCGGTCTTAACAGAATGTCAAGATCAATTTGCAGCATGGTTTAACTCAAGGTTTGCATTCTGCCAGCAGCAATTGTCCTAACGAACAATGCCGTGTGTTCTTGTAACTTCAGAAGCTTTTAGAAGGCTCATGGCAAGGGCAGCATCTAATGACTTTATTAGTGTAGGGTTCCAAAATGGGCTCAGTAATTGTTCACATCTCTTTGTCATCTAGTCATAATTACTGCATAGTATTGTTCGGGGTTGCACTTGTGAATAGTTTCCTAATAGCACTGAAATGAAGAAAAAAGGAAAAGGAT